TATCAAGATTTCAATGAAAGTTTATTGAGATATGTTAAAGTCAGGGAGTCATGTCATTTTCTTTCACATTACGCATGCACATGAACTTCCTTGAGTAAAATCGTAAATCAGCGGAGAGAATTAAATGAAAATATGCCGCGGATGTTATTGTCCACAGTGAAAATATGTCGGCGGAAAGTGAACTGAAAAGGGCACTTTACTTCAATAAATAGAAAAGGAAGTAGTTCTCAAATCCAAGTGGGCCGTTATAAAAAAATGAGGACGATAAAAGAGTGTATGTACAATAAAATTCTCGGTAGCACTCATTGTCAGCGCAACTTGTGCACTAGCGCTTTTCGCAAGCAAGTCTTTTTATTTGATATCTTTTCATCTGCAATGATATAACTCGAGAGTTTAATATGCAAACACGATCACAGTTTCAGCAACTTCAAATCCTGTCGTATAACATGTATAATCGTTCAAGTTCAATTTTATAGCACGCACGCACGCGAAATATGAAAATATATCTTTAAAATAACATTTACATAAAAGAATTAACTAAGTATATTTTTAACATAAAAAGTTAAATAAAGTCTCTATTTCTATGCAGATCAATGTGCACAAACAATTGGACTATTATTAAAAAATATATACATATTATGTAATTCAAATAAATAAAGTCGTAAAACCATAATATAACCACGATATAAAAAACATTAAATAGGTATATCATTAACACACAAAATTAAATTACGGAAATCTGCGAGACATAATTGTATTTTGTATTTTGACAGGAGCTATGACCTTCGACTTTTACAAGGTTCATTCGTGCGTTCAACGTTGGTGGCGGCGCGGGCGGATCGATAGAGCGTCTCAACAACACTAACGGTAGGAGCTTCTTTACCAAGCTGATTTCGCGCGGATCATCGGATTCCTTTCAGCGAGCCCGTGCTGCACGACGTATTTTTGAAGGCGTTATGAGCGCAGAGTCTGATAAGAACGATGCCGATGCCGCGAGAGTGGCTCTTCTCGGCTTGATCCTTACGGATGGATGACTATGATTGATAGTTGCGCCGATGTCATTACCGGTCACGAAGTTTCGCACATGGCAGTGCCATCCCGTTTTCAAAAAAGTCGACGAAATTGCCTGCCGTCGTCTCTCCTTCTCGCTTGGTTTTTTCTTTCTTTTCTTTTTTTTTTTTCTTTCTGAAACTCACCCTTTGTAACCTCTGTATCAAAGGAAGTTACGTTTTCGCACATCTTGCAAAGACCTGCCGATATCCGACCGTGCATTCTACGAAGCTGCCTCTCGAACCGGCTATTGTTTGCTTCTCAATCTCGATAGACGCACGTGGCATAACAATACTTCGAATCACATAAATAAAGCCGGAAAGAAGTAACGAAATGTCATGCTTTTAGAAAATCTTGCTTTTAAAATTCTTATCACTTATTTTTAACTCTGTATGAGATAGTATCCAGTTTGTTGTAAACGCGCGCTGTTGTAATATAAAAATGCCGACGTAAAAAATAACCATGTTGACGTGTGTATAATTGTATTATATAATATATGCGATGTGTTCAAATAAATTTACAAAATATAAGATTTAAAATGAAATAATTAATAATTATAATTATATCATTCATGCATCACCATACAGCTTACGTACACTCTTTTTTATCTTTATTTTAAATAAACTAAAAAAGGAGAAAAATGTACGAAGTGTGTAGAGAAATGTATACATATCGTCAAAAGATTCAAATTTTTTTTCAATCTTTGTATAATCTTCATATATTTTTATATTTCTTTGTAAAACAAAAATTGAAGAAGAATTATGAAGTTAAACTTATTAGTCGCGCTACACATGAAGATTTAAAACACTTCGTACATTCGAAATAGTTAGATCGTACAGATAATTACCTTGAAAAGCCGCAAGATGTTGGCGACCATAATGGAGACCACGCTGAATGCGGCGCCTATCACACCGGTTACCGGCTTGTGGGGAACGTAAGTGGGCGTTTTGCCATTTTCGCATTTATACTCCGATATGTCCTGAAATGAGGGAAAAGTGCCAAGATACTTTTTCATCGCATGATGACGACATAATAAAAAGAACGCTTATTTTTATCAAAATGTCTTTTAAAAGCGTTTTCTAAAAACGACGAACGAAATTAAAATGAAATTTCCATAAATGGCGCACATTTACGTTTTTAACATCCTTCAGCATTCTCTATTTGAGAATCACATTTATCCGTATTTGTTTCTGATATCTGAACATTATTCATGCTTTTTCGCGATTAGAATAGTCATAGTGGATCGAATACGATGCATGATAGACAATACTGAAATCTACATAATGTTTTAATCTTAAATACTTATGTAAGAAGAGAGTATCTTGTATAGAATATATTTATATTTTCAATATTTGCAAAAGATTTGGAATAGAATTTAGAATATTTTTAGAAATAAAGGAAACTAAAAATATTTATTTCTTATCTACTTAATAAGCTATGATTCGCTTCAAGTTACAAGAAAATTAAATATTGCACTTTTCGTTTAACGGAAAATGCGCTGCTGGATTTCCACACCTATGTTTCTCACTCTGTTCCCTCTCTATTCGACAGAGATTTGCGCGGGTAACTGCCGTGATGGATGAAATTCGACTGTGAAGTTACAATAAAGTTCGTTTCGTTGTGCGCAACTCAGTCGTGCTCGTTAGATCCTTCCTACAAGCTCGGCGTCACACGGTTCGTAATTAAGGAATCCTGTGCAATTCTCAATTTGATGTGGAACACAACGGCACTTGCCGTTACTGTGCGTTAGATAATTGTACCTACTCGAGGCAGTCGATAAACTAAACAATTATAAACCATCTGCTAATAGAGGTAAATCTACAATCATTATTTTAAATATAGCGTAATTATCCCTTTTAAATTTTACTGAATTGTTAAAGCAATGTAAAATAATATTAATTAATTTTAAAAATGTGATCTCAATTTCTTTATTATTGCTATCACTTATTCTTTAGAAAATGTTTGTATTTTTTTATCAACGGTAATGAACACAATAATAAAAATGGAATATAATCTCAGGAATTAATTATTAAGTATTATTTTATTACAAATAATTACTTAATTTATTTTAAGTAAAGATTTTGTTTAAAAATTACATAAAGTAAATATTCAGAGATTGATATATTCATGCTGAATTATATGAAATTGCTTCATGAGATAGCTAGAAATTTCTGCAAAATTACAAATTTCTCGTATTTGTTTTGTAAATGTATAAATAATTGTCTATAACGAGCTTGAAGTGTAGAGTCTGCAAACATTACAAAGATATTATTGTTAGGAGAAGCAACTCCCACTATATTGCAATGATTATATATGAATATGATTAGGAGAAATGCAACACAGTTAATACTAACAGTATCAAATTGCCTCGGTTTAACGCATAGTTTCCACTTCGCGCTATAATAACCAACATTCGTCTACCAATGTTTTCGGAGTCAATTAGATTTCGCAGAATGTAGCCTTTGAACAAGCTTGGTCGACTCGGAGAGTGTGCTCAGCGTCGACGAGAGGCCTTGTCGTTTTCTCACAGAGGCGAATACGTTTCGTCTCTTCACGATCTTATCGTTAATCCCTTAAATATCGTGAAATATCCAGCCGGCATTTAGCACAAATCTCAGCAAATATATATCACACTGCAGCTTAATTTTTAATCCGTCTGTTAAAAAAATTATTTTTATTTCCGCGAATCTACAATTTAAGGATTGTGCCACAAGAAAAAACAACAAGGAATTATTTTAATAAATTTATGAGATGGAAATTGGAGGAGGGAAGGAATTGATCTTGAAGCCCTTTTTTCAATTCTTCCGAATATTTATAAGCAATTTAAATTGTTTGTGCGTTCTATACAGTTCTAGATCTCTGAACGCGGCAGAAATATGTGCTAAATTTTTTAATGCATCTCTTTATTTCATTGGTTAAATCCTTTAAATTTTTCGTAAAATTAGGTGAGTGATCAGGTTCTATCAAAAATGTACATGTAATTAATTGCAAAATACGCGGAAACTTTTGGGAATGAAATTTATGCGACAATTAAACTTTATTGATTTTTGCGTGATATTAACGATTTATATTTACGATTTAATTTCGCGAATATTCACGAACTCGGTGTTGGTTACGAAATTTAATCGCGAATTCAGCGCAATTCGTGAAAACGTCTGTTTGCTGAGAGCATCTGGCGAGAGACTCGAGAATACTGTTCTCTAGCTGGTATGCCCACACGATTTAAATATGATGAAGCAAACATCACGTAAATGCATGCGTTGTGTATTTCTATGAGAAGATTCTCCGAACGACTGTATAAATCCGGAATGCATCATGTTGCCACTTCAAGTTATTTAAATATCGCATGTGTCTCTGGTGGACTCATGACATATTAATGTGATTTTTTTGGGAGATAACTTGCCGTATGTGTACGTGCATACATATATGTTACGTTAGTGTAACGGAAAAGTTAAGTAGCGTAAAATGTGCAGTCACCACGAGAAGGAAAGAAGGCAGCGCATTTATGAATGCATTACGCTGGTTGAAAATATTCCATTACACGTTATGAATAAATACATATTTTGTCACATGTATTATCGATTATGCAATGGAACAATAATAACATTGTTAAAAGATTATTCCGTCAATCATTAAATCTCGCTTGTATCATGGTAAAAAATTGTAACGGGCAAGAAAAATGGCATAAGCTTTATTCTTAAAAAAATGTCACTGAACTGAATAAATATAATGTGCAACGTAATTGTCATTCAGTGAATAAATTGACGGAAAAATTAATAAGTTGAATTTGGCGAACATTCACAGTCACATTTGGAACATTCTTTTAACGGAAATGTATATATGGATTATTAATTCATACGAAACCTTAATAGCAGTTAATAAATGTGTTAAATTCGTGTAATAATGTAAAAATATATAGTGATGGGATAGATATATTGAAATATTAAAATAGAATTTATATGTAATGCTAAAACACAAGCATCGGAAGCTCAAAGTGTAAAAAGATTAATCATCCATATTAAACGTTTTATATACCGGTAAAAAGAGCTCATCGAACTTTTATAGCTTTCGTCGATATCTCATCAAAGTACCTATCGATTCTTATAAGTACATAATTTGCAATTAATCGTTACCAGTCTGTCTGAATTATTCGAGTATCAGTTATATATGTTTGACATGATGGACGAGCTGTAAGATACAGAAAGCTATCGATAAGACGTGATGGCTCTTAAATTATGGCATCATTCCAAAGTGTTCGGTATCCTGAGCGAGTTTTGAAAGAGACTGAAGACCAAAAAAAAAAAAAGATTCTCTCATGCCGTCGGATCTATAGATCTTCGCTCAAGGAGGCACGTCCTTCTAGGCGAGGTATCCGCTCTTATTCGAACCCAAGAAATAAATCCAAACACCGGATTTGAGCATGCATTATTCACGCCGAGAAAGATGCATCCGTTCCGACACGGAAAATCGAACAGACGAATTCGTCCGACTGATGGCCGCAAATTAAACGAATTCGCATATTTTAATACACATTTCTAATAATTCCCACTTAAAAGGAATCTAATATTTCGCGTAAAAAGATGCGTTTTTGTTTTTATATTAAAAATAAATATACGTAAGGTTTTCAATAGTGAGAAGAGATTATGACGATTCTTTTAACTTTGAGTCATGAAAGTGATTTGCAGTACAGAGATTTTAATAAATATATCGACAAGGATATAAATTTTTATTGTAATTTTTCAAAATCTGTGCATTATAATTTTTAGAATTAAAATACTTTATATATATGTACAAAAGATTATAATGCCATAGACTTATACATATATGGATACAAGGAACATGTAATTAAAAAAATGCTAAAATAAAAAGAAATATATTACATTAAAAGACGAATTACAATTTGATTATTTCAAAATACTCCCCCTGACTAATACATTTATATAACTCATCGTTCTTGCCACTTGCTAAAACAGTACTGGAAGTACTCCTCTTTCATAAATGCCTTTAGTTGCGCTGTCGTAACTGCCGCGATGTCTGGAATTGATTCAAAACGTTTACGATAAATACTGAATATTATGAAGACTTATTAGAGCGTTTAAGAAACAAAGAATAAGCGTAGAAAAATACATGAGAAATGAGCAAATGGTTTCATTCTCCATTATAATAACGCTTTATGTCACACATAGCTTCTGGATACGGCAATTTCTTAAATAAAAATATTACGATGTGTCCTCATCCACTGTATTCATCGGATTTGGTACCGTGCGATACTTCTGGCTTTTCTCCAAAATCAAAATGACCATGAAAGGTAAACGTTTTGAATCAATTCGCAAGACATCGAGACAGCCACGACAACTAAAGGCAATTAAAGGCACTTATGAAATATGACTTCCAGTACTGCTTTAGCAAGTGACAAGAATGATGAGATAAATGTATTAAAAGCGAGGAAAAGTATTTTGAAGGGGACTAATTGTAATTTGTCTTTTAATGTAATAACTTTCTTTTTATTTCAACATTCACCGTATTTTTTATCATACCTCGTATGTGTGTATAATAATAAATTGATAAAATTAACTCCGTAGATTTGATATGAATTAGAAGTTTTCCATGTATTTCCAGAAACAGACGAAAATTTTGAGGACATTGCAAACATTAAATGAGCAATAGAAGAGCTGCTCAATTTTTAATAAAAGGTAAACGATGGATGATTCTTGCAAAGAGCGATCCATTTTTAATTGTAAGTAATAACGTGTGGAAAAAAAGGATAAATCAATGTAAGATTTAGAAACAGTATATAATAATAACAATGGTCGGTGAATATTGCACACGCAAAAGAATACTTTTATAAAAATCTACGACTCCCACTGGTACTTGATGATTTATGATTCTCACGTGATAACTGTTCCCAGGAGCGCAGTAGTAGCGCTGAATGGGAAGCGAAGGCAATTGCTTGTCAGGAAACGTGGAAAATAAATGGCA